CGGCTTCGAGACATCATCATGTCGTTTGTGATTGCCGGTCGTGACACAACGGCCAACTGCCTCACGTGGGCCTTTTATGAACTCCACAAGAACCCACGTGTCCTGAACAAGTGCGTGCACATTTTATGCCTACATGCGTGTGTGCGTGTGTGCGTGTGTGCACATGAGCGTGGGAGTGTGCGGACAACATCAGTAATGAAGCTGTGCACACTGATTTGTATTTCCCTTGTTGCGCTTACGACGCCCCGACACACACACACACACACACACACACACACACACACACACACACACACACACACACACACACACACACACACACACACACACACACACACACACACACACACACACACACACACACACACACACACACACATACAGGCTGCGTGCTGAGCTTGATGCTGCGACCGGTGGCCGCGATCCGACGTACGAGGACATCAACACCAAGGTCCCGTCCAGCGCACTCGGGCTGTGGATACAGCAGGAGGGATTTGGGGAAAGCAGGTGGAGGATGGCGGAGGCATTGCGTACACCCTTTCTTGTACATGTGTTGTGGTGTGAGTGTATGTGTGTATGTGTATGTGTGTGTTGTGTGTTGTGTTTGTTGTGTGTGTGTGTGTTGTATGTATGTGTGTGTTGTGTTGTGTTTGTTGTGTGTGTGTGTGTGTGTGTGTTGTATGTATGTGTGTGTATGTGTGTGTGTGTGTGTGTGTGTGTGTGTGTGTGTGTGTGTGTGTGTGTGTGTGTTTGATGACGATACTGTTGGGTTCCCCCCCCCCATTTCTTGCGTGAGTGTCTGGCCACCTGCTTCGCATGTCATCACGTCATTCACGGCTGTGTCTACCACCGCTCCACCACCATCACCACCGCCCCATCACACCACAGGTGCCGTATCTGCACTATGTGGTGAAGGAAACGCTGCGGCTGCACCCGTCTGTGCCGAAGGACGCCAAGACGGCGATCAACGATGACGTGTTGCCGGACGGAACAGCCATCAAGGGCGGCACCAACATCGTGTACATGCCCTGGGTCATGGGCCGCATGGAGCAGTGAGTCGTGGATGCAGATGAATAAGAATGTGCTTGTGCTGGCACATGCGTGTAGAAGGGGACAGTGTGTGTGTGTGTGTATGTGTGTGTGTGTGTATGTGTGTGTGTGTGTGTTTGGAGTCCCTGCCACCTGTTGCTCTTTGCGCTCATGCCCACTTCCTCCTTGCCCCCCCCCCTCGCCCAACAAATGTTACGCGTCGCTGTCAGGCTGTGGGAAAACCCGCTTGACTTCAACCCGGAGCGCTGGGAAACGACAACAGCGACACACTTCAAGTACACCGCCTTCAACGCTGGTGCGTGCGGCATGGGCGAGGTGGTGCGTGCGGCATGGGCGAGGTGGTGGGCGCGGGCTGTATTTTTCTGGGGGTTTCGTGGATGTGCATCCGTGCAAAAATTGGTGTTTTTGACCAAACCAACCCCATTAAGTCACGATTACCTCCCCCCCCCCCAAAACAAATACACCGACACACAAAATAAACACAAACACACACAATAAACACAACCACAACCACAAACACACGCACACACAACCACAAACACACACAACACACACACAAACACAAACACAAACACACACAAACACACACACAACCCCATCTCCACTTCATCCCCGCAGGCCCGCGCCTGTGTCTTGGCATGAACATGGCGTATTTGGAGGCGCAGTTTCTCCTCGCAATGATCGTGCAGCGCTTCGACCTCAAGTTTGCAGGTGGGGACATGTTGTGCTTTGTTGTGTTGTGTTTTGTTGTGTTGTGTTTTGTTGTGTGAACAGCGTGAGAGAGAGAGAGAGAGAGAGAGAGAGAGAGAGAGAGAGAGAGAGAGAGAGAGAGAGAGAGAGAGAGAGAGAGAGAGAGGGTGTGTGTGTGTGTGTGTGTGTGTGTGTGTGTGTGTGTGCATGCACGTCCGTGTGTTTGCAACGGAATAATGCACCACCGCACGACGACGCTGCCGTTGTCCCTGTTGCCGACTCACCATCCACCGTTGCCACCACCGCCCATTGCGCAGACCAATCGTACCAGTACCAGGTCACCTTGACCATGCCCATGAAGGGCGGCTTGAGGGTCAAGGCAACGGCGCGCGATTGAGAAGCGTGCAAAGCCAACCGCAAGCTCGCACTGCTCACCGTTGGTTGCATGGAACTTGTCTCAGCTTTCTTTCAGTTTGTGTTTGCTCGTGTCATTTCCCCTGCTTCCCCTCTGTCCAACCGGTCGTTCATTCTTCCAATCATTCATTCATGCCCCCATGTGCGTCCGTTTCCCCCCCCCCTCCACTCCACCCACATCTCAACTCTTCTCTTGTTCCTTTGCACACTCCCCTCATCGTCATTTTCCTCTTCACACGTTAACTCTTTGCGCTTTCGCACGTCAGACATTATTGTACCAAATTCCCTGTGTATTGATTGGCGTTCGCGTACACGACAGCGCAGAAGAAGGACATCACAGCAACAC